CTATATATATATTGTGATCTCTCTCGTCGCGTTTCTAGCCAGTACATTTTGAGTGCTTTGAGACAGTCACTGTTATGTTGGAGTTTAACTGTATCTATGCTTGCCGTATATGTTCTCTGTATGCCTTCTATTTAAACAAAATATATAATTGAAAGATAAAATTAATACGCAGCACTATTCAAGGCGGTAAGGCACAAATGTTTTGAAGAGTGAGCCTTGTAGTAAAATGCCTGGAGTTGCAGGTTCTTATAATCCACGCTATCATTTTCCCTGGCCAATAATTTGTTTCGTTATGCTCACTAAACGTGAGGTCATCTGATATAATTATTCCCAGATCCTTTACATGTTGTTTTCCTTCTATTGGTAGAGCTGTTTCTGCCTTGTACGGGCCGAGTTTAATCCTGTTTCTCATCAAGTTCTTCATTTTTATCATACTTAAGTATCTGTATTTTATCACTTAAAAATCGTGTTATTTTCTGTTGCCCAATCGAAGACTTGATTGATTTTGGCTTGGAATTTCTGTCTTCTACATAGGTAATTATCATGCTGGTTTTTGTATCATCCGTCAAGAATGACACGACGATGTGACTTACATTCTGTCTTAAGTTTAGTGACCTTGTATATAGCTCCTATTATAAGATTGAAGGAACATGATAACGTGTTGTTGTCATAACTTTACTGTGTGTTAACTGGGGTTATGTGGACCATTAAAAACAGTTTATATTCCTGCGGATGTACTTGCGTGTCAACTTGTCTGAAAATGTCGTAATGGTTATATCATTGCGTCGTGAAGAGGTCTGATGAATGCAGCGCCTATGTATAGTGAGTGATCCTTCCCGCCTCCTCTTGAGCTGTTCATCCCTGAACAACATAACCTCTCCCTTCCCCTACAGGTACCTGTGGTTTACCTGTTACCCACCTCCAGTTGTCCTCCCACAGGACAAAACATGCTAGAGTAACGCTTAATTAACTCAGAATCAGCGATATCAACGTCGTTTGTCTCGTTTTGTACCTGGCTATTCTCACCCCATCACCTAGGAACACCCCCCATCACCTAGGAACACCCCCCATCACCTAGGAACACTCCCCATCACCTAGGAACACCCCCCATCACCTAGAAACACCCCCCATCACCTAGAAACACACCATGGTAGAACACCATATATATACCCTAAGGAACCCAAATTCCAATTACACTGAAATGGAAATGACGTAAAGACTTTGGTTCACGAGTGATTGAATACTTGAAACTTTGAGACTTGCAGCCTTCTCCCCTCCCTCCCCCATCATGAAGTGAGAGCGTTTAATTAAGTGTCGGGGGAAGGTTCAATATAGGCGAGGGAGCGAGGAGCGAGGCGTGTGACAGGTGGGCGGCCGCAGGTATTGACCAAGTAGGTGGGTGACTGACAGGTATATCAGTAACTGCATATCAAGGGACGCGGCCGCTTCCCCCCTTTCCCTGTTCTGCACGCTGGGGTCTGGCTCCACCCCACTGTAAGGGCGACCAGTCATGGCACTGCTCGGCCTACATCACAACATGCTGCTGCCCGCATTATACACATCACCGCCAATACTATATATTTAATCATACACAGTCAGCACAACACATTGTAAACACACGCGGCCAACATCATCTTCGTGAACAAAATTCTCACATCTGGTTGATACCGAGTTGATGGGGTTCTGGGAGTTCTTCTACTGCCCAAGCCCGGCCCGAGGCCAGGCTCGACTTGTGAGAGTTTGGTCCACCAGGCTGTTGCTTGGGGCGGCCCGCAGGTCCACATATACCTGGTTGATGGGGTTCTGGGAGTTCTTCTACTGCCCAAGCCCGGCCCGAGGCCAGGCTTGACTTGTGAGAGTTTGGTCCACCAGGCTGTTGCTTGGAGCGGCCCGCAGGCCCACATATACCTGGTTGATGGGGTTCTGGGAGTTCTTCTACTGCCCAAGCCCGGCCCGAGGCCAGGCTCGACTTGTGAGAGTTTGGTCCACCAGGCTGTTGCTTGGAGCGGCCCGCAGGCCCACATATACCTGCTTGATGGGGTTCTGGGAGTTCTTCTACTGCCCAAGCCCGGCCCGAGGCCAGGCTTGACTTGTGAGAGTTTGGTCCACCAGGCTGTTGCTTGGAGCGGCCCGCAGGCCCACATATACCTGGTTGATGGGGTTCTGGGAGTTCTTCTACTGCCCAAGCCCGGCCCGAGGCCAGGCTTGACTTGTGAGAGTTTGGTCCACCAGGCTGTTGCTTGGAGCGGCCCGCAGGCCCACATATACCTGGTTGATGGGGTTCTGGGAGTTCTTCTACTCCCCAAGCCCGGCCCGAGGCCAGGCTCGACTTGTGAGAGGGTGAAATTAACATTATCACAGCAGACTTTGAAGAAGTCATTGACAATCTGCTCGTGCACTTCGTCTAGGGACCTGAATTCTTTATTTATAAGGAAATGGAAAGTGCCAGCAACACTACTTGTAACATGGAGTAAAGGTTTGAACAATGTAGGGATGCCAGTCCCACTGGAAAAGGGAGGTAGCACAACCACGGCAGAAAATTGAAGGCCGGTCGCATTAACGTTACAATATTAGTCCCCCTCGCCAACCGTCCTCTCAACTAATAGGTTGCCTTTTGTACATTATGTAACCAACGTTACAAATGTAACCTGTTATGAAACGTAACGGCTCACAATTACATTTTCTATACAATGGGCTCGATAGGGTTAGGCGAGTTGCTTAAGTTCGTAGTTTCCGTTTAGGTTGAGGGGTTGGATGTTTTATTGAGTGGCAAATTAAGAGAACGGGCTGTAGGGAGAGAAATTGAGAGTGAAATCTCCAGTTTATGGAGAAAAAACGAACTACAAAACCCAGTTCAACATGGATTTTGAGCAGGAAGATCCTCCCTTTCACAATTACTCAATCAGCTATGACTAAATCCCAGAAGCATTATATGAAAACCAAAATGCAGATGTTGTGTACAAATTTGTAAAAAAAAACATTTGATATAAGTGGCCATTGAGTGATGGGATATACATTGAAGTCCAAGGAAATAACAGGCAAAGTGGGGGCGATGTTTGGATTGTACCTGGATTGGGTTCTGCGAGTTGTTCTTCTCCTCGAGCCCGGCCCGGGACCACACTTGACTCGTGAAAGCTTGGTCCGACAGGCTGTTGCTTGGAGTGGCCAGTAGATTACATTTTCTGACAGGTCACAGAAAATAGGAGTAAGCAAACAAAATAAAGTCCATGTACTGCCCTCTCCTCCCACTCTCTGCCCCTCAACCCTCACTATTTGCTCTGCTCCTGTCCCATACTACTGCACTACTCATTTTCTCCTAAGAGACTAAATGTATTTTTTTTATTAATACATTAGGTACATTTGCATTTGTGCAGCTACCCTAGACTATATGAAGGGGAGTACAATGTGTCTAAAAGCTAGGTACGTGATACTAAAAACTCCCCATCACACAGGATGGTTAGTCATACAGAGGCATGTGATAAGCAGTCTGCCCTGGCAGACTCTGGGTGCATTATGAGGATATCATCAACACAAGAGTGAATAAGGTAACAGTGACACTGAAAGTTCCCCTTCTCGCAGGATGGTTAGCCATACAGGGCCATATGTTTAGTAGCCTGCACTGGAATGTATTTATTTTGTATTAACACATTAGGTACATCTGCATTAGTGCAGCTACCCTAGACTATATGAAGTGGAGTACAGTGTGTCAAAAAAGCTAACTAGGTGATGCTAAAAAATCCCGTCATGGGCAGTGTGGGTATAAAGTCTGTGGTGTTTGGTGGCCACGTTTCACTTGCTGATAAGTTGGTGGGTGAATATTTAACTAATTGCGCTGTGTTTGCGAGAGAGGGGGGGGGGGTCAGTTGGGGAGGGGTGAGCTTCAGCTCTTTGGTTCTGCCTCTCAACCTTCAGTCGTCTTGTTTACGGGTTCCCCATACTATTGGGATTTGTTATATATGCACTTGAATCTGTGAATAGAGTCTGGCATCTCTACGCTTCTTTGTGTATTTTATTTACCATTAATCTTACACCGAAAGCAACATTTCCAATATCTCTAGTTCCTTTGGGTACTTAGTGTTTCCCCTAGAAGCATATAAGGAGAGGGTTCTGGGAGTTCTTCTACACTCCGAACCCGGCCTGAGGCCAGGCTCGACTTGTGGTAACTTGTCACCGTTATAACTTGTCACCCTTGTGTCACCTTGTTCATCTGCCACCAGTGCCAGCTAGTCTGTCCTGATCTATTTCTGAGTGTCAGCTGGCTGTTAATAGTTGGTTGAGATTTTGATATGTAATGCTTTGCCGATGTCTAATATTTTATCATAACTGTTTTTTTATTTTTTATTTTTTTATGGTGGTGTTGGTCAGGATATCTCGGGTGGTGATCTGGGTGTGAGTAGAAATTTCATGTTTTTTGTTGTTCACAAACAACAATTGAAGATAAGACATCGGCAAAACACTACATGTTAAACAATATCAACCAACTATTAACAGCCAGCTCATACTCGAGAGCATTCTACCATCCCCAAGATCAAGACAAAATATCCAGCACACTGTGCTCCTGATAACATAAGAATTAAGGAAACTACAGATGGCCTATTGCCCCATGCAACATCTTTCTTCACCTCAACCTTCTTGGTTAATGCAATCAGGTGCTCCAGAAAATTTGTATTATGCTGCATCTCTGCCTTTGAAAATGTTGACAGGTTCAATGAAATACATCACTTGGTATCACCCATAAAAAACTACTGTAAAATGTACTTTATAGTTAATTTGTCAACTTCCTTTTCAAGCCAAGAACAACATAATAGAAGATTCGTGTTAGAATCATTGATCTAACCCTTTCTGGTGTGTCTACAAGAAAGTAATATGTCTACAAGAAAGACTGCTACCAAAATAAATATTATATACTGTATATCTAAACTGTTAGGCTAATGTGTGTTGTTAATTTGATCATTATATTGCTATGGTGAGGAAGACTAAATGCAGTGTTTATGTTTCAGTGCTGTTGAGTGAGTGTATAGACAAGAATGAGCTGCAGTTCAAGACACTGAAGATCACAGACTTTGGGCTGGCACGAGAGGTGTCTAAGACAACTCGCATGTCTGCCGCCGGTACCTATGCCTGGATGGCTCCAGAGGTCATAAAAACCTCCACTTTTTCCAAGGCATCTGATGTCTGGAGGTCAGTGCTCTGTTTAACTCTAAAGTTTCCTTTCTTCTCCACTTGCCCTCTTCTCCTTGATCTCTTTCTCTTTCAGTTTTTCTCTTTTATCCCCTCCCTTTTTTCTTTCTCCCAACCCAAGTCTATTTCCCATTGTTTTCCTTCCTTCACTATATCACCTTCCTGCCAGTGATCATTGCAAACACCTTCACATGACCATTCTATTCTTGCCGTCTCTTTAAGAATTTACTTTGTTCAAATTGCCATGTTATCTTGAGATTATCTTGAGATGATTTCGGGGCTTTTAGTGTCCCCGCGGCCCGGTCCTCGACCAGGCCTCCACCCCCAGGAAGCAGCCCGTGACAGCTGACTAACATCCAGGTACCTATTTTACTGCTAGGTAACAGGGGCATAGGTTGAAAGAAACTCTGCCCATTGTTTCTCGCCGGCGCCTGGGATCGAACCCAGGACCACAGGATCACAAGTCCAGCGTGCTGTCCGCTCGGCCGACCGGCTCCTATTCATGGCAATTTGAACAAATGTTTCCTCTTGATGTTTGCTGTTACAATTGAGAAAGATAAATACAATGGAAAGGGGCAAGAAACTAAAAGATAACTTGAACAAAAAGAAGAATGGTTCAACAAGTGAACACTATAGTCTAACTCGAGTGGAAAGTAATAAAGTTGGTGCTAGAAATAGGAGGCCAGGCACAAAGTACCGTTTACGAGAGGAAACCCCTCCTGGAGAAATAGAATTAGTGGTTGAATTTACACTAAATCTGTCACCAGAAGCCCACATGTAATGAATATCATCAGCTGTGTCTGCAAGGTTGTCCAACATAAGAACTGCCTTTAATTATTTATTTATTTATTCAGGATCATCTTTTACCGCATATGTCAGACCAATTTTTGAATACTGTATGGTTCACTAGGATATAAGTGCATGGTTTGTTGAAATTAGGCAAATTATCACTTCCCTTATTTCCGGCTTTTCTGGCTTTCATCAACTTATGTAGGATGTTTTGCTTCGCTTGTACTTTCTGGGTTTTACTCAGTTATAAGTTTGATTTTGAATCCTCCATGCTCCTTCCGACTCTGAAAACACCATATTTTGGTCCTGGTGTTTGGTAGGCCTATGCAAGTCTAGAGGCCTGGTAGTTCTGAGGCTGTTTGTGGTACAGAACCAATGTACCAAGAACTACTAAGGCTGCCCTGAAAAACGTCTCTCATTGAATTCAATGTTGGATATTATAATTTCAGTCATGGTAATAATTCACAATACAATACTGTATCTGTGGCCATTATAACTGTATCACATAAGGGCAGTAGATTAATCATGTCTAAGATGAAAAGCATGTGTACTGATAGTTGCATTGTCACCATATGTAGTGATGAATCACATCATCTTTTCTTTCTTACACAGCTATGGTGTGTTGCTGTGGGAGCTTCTTACTGGAGAGTCCCCGTACAAGGGCATCGACACCCTGGCTATTGCTTATGGGGTTGCCATGAACAAGCTTCGACTACATATCCCTACAACTGTACCCACCAACTGGAGGAAACTCATGGAGGGTTAGTTCTCATTTGTCAGTTTTTCTGATAAGCACACTGTGTGTGTGTGTGTGTGTGTGTGTGTGTGTGTGTGTGTGTGTGTGTGTGTGTGTGTGTGTGTACTCACCTAATTGTGCTTGCGGGGGTTGAGCTTTGGCTCTTTGGTCCCACCTCTCAACTGTCAATCAACTGGTGTACAGTTGTGTGTGTGTGTGTGTGTTTATATATACAGTACTGTATACAGTACAGTATATTATTATTGATGATAATCTAAATTTTATAGAGGTACTGTAATCCCATATTTTATGGTTTAGATACAGAGCAAAGGGAAAAACTTTACACACATCTTTTGAGGCTATTGATCACGCAAAAAAAAATTGTGGTGCTTTGGTGTAATTTTAAGCACTGTAATACAGTATATTGATGCTTCCTCGGTCTAATGAACATCGACTTTATTTAACGAGGTGTTTTGCCCACGATCATATGTTTCTGGTTAAGCTGCAATTGGTGATGTGTTTTGCCCAAGATCATATGTTTATGATTAAGCTAAACCACTACATTTGTGATGCTTGTTAAATCATGAGTAAATGCTATGAGATGAACAGGAAGGAAAAAGCAGTTAAATTATGTGAAAAGTGGTATGCATGCAACCTGATGGGAACGTGTGTGACGCTGAATGTAACATGATGGAAGTATGTGTGGCTCTGAATGTAACACGATGGGAACGTGTGTGGCTCTGAATGTAACACGATGGAAGCGTGTGTGGCTCTGAATGTAACACGATGGGAACGTGTGTGGCTCTGAATGTGACACGATGGAAGCGTGTGTGGCTCTGAATGTGACACGATGGGAACGTGTGTGGCTCTGAATGTAACACGATGGAAGCGTGTGTGGCTCTGAATGTAACTCGATGGGAACGTGTGTGGCTCTGAATGTAGCACGGTGGGAACGTGTGTAGCACTGAATGTAACACGATGGGAACGTGCGTAGCATTGAATGTAACACGATGGAAATGTGTTTATTACTGAATAAAACATGATGAACGTGCATAGCACTGAATGAAACATGATGGGAACGTGTGGATCACCGATTGTAGCATTAGGGTAATGTGTGTGGATCAATTAATGTAATATGATGACAATGTGTGGATGACAGTGTGTTACAAGACTGTAACACGTACTGCACTGGTATTGTTGGTAAAACAGTGAATATTTCACCTCGTGTTAATGTTGGTAGTGTCAAGGGTTATAAATACTACAAAAGCATGATCTTTGCAACAAAAGGTTATAGATTCAAGCGAAGGAAAGAAAGGTGTCAAAAAATATTAGTTCTCTTTTGCAAACAGACTGATACACGGTTGGAACAAGTTAAGCGAGAAGGTGGTGGATACCAAAACTGGCAGCAATTTCAAAGCATCATATGACAGAGTACAGTACTGGGAAGATAGGATCACCATGAGCATAGCTCTCATCCTGTAACTATACTTAGGTAATTACACTTATTAATGGTAAAGGTGGCTCTTATGATTGTATAAGGTCTATGTGATGACTGAAGTGTGAATGGGTGTTTAATTGGTGTAGTTTAGAGACTGAGGTACAGACCTAGGCAAAGGGGTACAGACCCAGGCAGTAGGTTACCAACCCAAGTGGAGGGGTAGAGAGTTAGGCAGAGGTATAGACTCAGAGGTTATTTTGAGATCTTGTGGTCATCTTGAGATTTCGGGGCTTAGCGTCCCCGCGGCCCAGTCCTCAACCAGGGCTCCTTTTTGTTACACACCCCCAGGAAGCAGCCCGTAGCAGCTGTCTAACTCCCAGGTACTTGTTTACTGCTAGGTGAACAGGAACATCAGGGTGAAAGAAACTGCTCATTTGTTTCCGCCTCCACCGGGAATCGAACCCGGAAACCTCAGAACTCCAAATCTGAAGCGCTATCCACATAGCTGTCATGCCACAGAGTGGTACAGACTCAACGTACAAACACACAGGCAGAGATATCAAATAATATATTTAAAGTGCACTTTTATGTAAAATGTAAGTTAATGAAATAGTACTGCAGTTGTCGTTGCCAAACACCTTGGCCAACCCTCTCACTTTCCTCCATTCACAATCAATTTAGCCTTTTCTTCTATAATGCTCCTGTTGCTTCAACATGCTATTGTTTGACTACTACTGCCTTTTGATATCTTTTCTACTCACAAGTATGAATTATCAAAAGCAAAGTGGATGAAAATTCTTGAATATGTATAGGTCATGCCACACGAGCACAGGAAATAACACATGGCCGGGAATTCATTTAGTTACAAAATGACTCTCGTGGCAGCAGAAAGTCACATATACAAAGTATATATATTTTACAATTTGTAGTGTATACTGGTACTGAAATTGTGCGAGTTACATATTCCAAAATATGCGTACAGGTGTGTTGCATTTCTGAGCAATCTCCCCATGTAGTTCTCTTTAGCCTTATGCTCTGAACTTTTTAGGACAGACATATTTCCACCAGGCTTTGTGGAACTCCAGCTCCATTGAGACAAGTACCCTTGTTATATGTTTTGTCATGGCAATAAGCAGAGTTGAGGGGGAGTTCAGTGGATTGCACATCTCAATCCACAATGAGAAAAAACAGAACTTCAACCCTTTAACACACAGAACACTTGGAATCGGTCTTAAACTCTTCAAGCAAATCTTTGAAACTCAAAAGGTGCCTCTTGTCACAGTGCCAAAATTCATTCTGGATTTACATAAATTAAATGAATTGCCACTGACTGACTATCCCAGGTGCCATCAGATGACAGCTTCAGCATATACACTTGGTTGGAGAGGAAAGGCTACCTCACTGTATCTAGTGGTTATTTGAGACTACAGGACTGTACTAAGCTGTAGCGGCTGCTGATCCCTTAGCTAGGTGAATTGTTTTTTTTTTTTTCCTTTTTAAGATGTTTTGTCAGTCTTGAGTGCAGGAGATTTACCTGGTTGATACCTGGTTGATGGGGTTCTGGGAGTTGTTCTACTGCCCAAGCCCGGCCCGAGGCCAGGCTCGACTTGTGAGAGTTTGGTCCACCAGGCTGTTGCTTGGAGCGGCCCGCAGGCCCACATATACCTGGTTGATGGGGTTCTGGGAGTTCGTCTACTCCCCAAGCCCGGCCCGAGGCCAGGCTCGACTTGTGAGAGTTTGGTCCACCAGGCTGATTTCTTCTGCTTTATGGTTTGCTTAACTGCATGGTGCCCATATTGTATGCATGTTATTGTATAGTGAACTGCCACTTGAGGACCACACACGTGACAGTAGTAAGAGGAGGCTATGCCACTCTGGCCAATTTCAGAAATATTGAAATTTATGGATGGAGAAAGGTTAAAAAAAATCATGATAAACATGATACCTAAACTTTAATATGCAGTACTTGTATTGAAAGGTGGCAGTGCATGCTATTTATGGCTCCTGGTCCTGCAGTACAGGAGCCATGAGGAGAGACTGGAGGTATTAGATATGCCAAAGCTAGCGGACAAGAAAAAAAAGTGACATGGTCACTCCATAAAAGATTGAAACAGAAATTGACAAAATGGATCAGGATATATTTTTGAAATCTTCAGCATCGAGAACACGAGGCAATAAATTCCAACTAAGAAAATGAAAGTAAACAATAAGGGGGGGGGTAAATATTGTAAAAGCCAGTGTGACAGGGTTGAGTTGTGTGGATATTTTGTTCAAACTGTTTAGTTCTGGTCACAGTGCACTGCACACATGTCTCGGCTCACTGCTGCACAGTTTGTGCCTTAAAAATAATCTCCTGTTTTGGCTTGTGTTCAAGTTGGCATGACACTGCCACATCCACAATATAACAGCAGATGTTTCTATGGATGCTAGAACCTACACACACACACAATTCCTGGACACTTTCAGCTCCCATGTAATTAGCTCTCCTGAAATATTGATGTGATGGTCACTCCTTGAACTCCCACCACCTTCCTAATTGAAATATAACTATAGGGATGTGAGCTATAGGTTAGGGCAGGAATGGGGAATCTTTCATCGTATGAAAATCATATTGTACTTATCAATGATTTCATAAGGCTGCGCATTGTGTTATCCACTGTATGCATTCAAATGTGTAAAAATCAAACTTACAGATCAAGTTTCATTAATTTCAATTGCTTTGAAATGCCACGCTGAGTATCATAAAAAGCGGCATGGAGCCTTAAGGGTGTAGGATCCGCACCCCTTGGGTTAGGAGGTTCTATTTTCTCTCCCTTCCTCAATAATTCAAGCATTGCATATGTGTGAATCATGTACTGTGTGTGTGTGGTACTCACAGTCTGTTATTCTTTAATATCCTTTCATGTGCTGTCAGATCATCTGTTACAACTGTGCTCAAGTTTATCTATATACAAGATACTGTATAAATCATTAAGGTTAGATACAACATATCTGTGGTTCCGGTTACACTGAAATGCGGTAGATAAGTAATTTGTTGTAAAGATTAATTAAGTGAAACTTTAGGTGGTACATGCATTATTGCAGATGTTAATAGTTGCTACTAAAGTCTCGAGACAATCAAAATTCCGTTGTTGTTGCAATTTTAGTTGCACATAACACACTAATCTTTAGCATGTCAGTAACCTGAGTTGTGCATTCTTTGCAGATCCTCAGCTGAAGAGCATCACTGTGATGCTGCTGTTCATGCTCTAGCAGCATGGGCAGATGGTGCTATGCTAAGATGCACACTAACATCTCTAACCCGAAGCACCGAAACCCCAGACAACACATGTTAATGGTTTAAACCAGGGGTCAGGGCTGTGATTGCGTGTACATGTCAAGATACGTCGGGTGCAGTGCCTAAAAATTCAGGCGCCAAGCTCTCCTGGGTTTAAGCCATTCACAAATCCCATAAATATTTCTGAGAATTTCAGATTAGTTTTGTGCAAATGCAGTGTTTAGAGTTACAGTCTGTTAGTGGGAGAGCTGTATAATGCCCAGTGGTCAATTAACTGGCTTTTAAGTCTTAATTCCCCATTCTCATTTGATCAAAACTTGGTGTTAAAAAAATGTGTGTTGTCTGGGGTCCTGAGGATAAGCTGATTATGGAACTATTGTGCTAACACCATATTATATATTTGTGTTGCCAACTGTAGCTTGAAGTATTGTACAGTCTACTCCTTTATTATGCAAGGAGATTTAATGCTACCTGATTTGTGCAAGATAAACATTTAGAGCATAAATGTGTGTCACATAGTCAGCATTTGGTTTACTTTTTACACAGCATATCTCCATAAACATTGACTGAATCAAGGTAAGAAATGTTAATAGAAAAATCTTTAAAAAACAAACAATTTTGAGATGTGGTAAATCCACAAGTGTTTCATTGAAGATTGTATGTAATGTTTTCATTTTGGGTGATGAGTTCTGTTCAGAATGGATATCATGTCATATTAAATATTTGTTTAATTGGTGTAAAAATGTTCATAGAATCGCACTAAAAAAACACATTTTGTTGCAAAATCCTTGAATGCTATATGTGGAAGTCATGCTCAAATATATATTTTTGAGGCAAGATGTTTTCTTTTGCATTAGATATTCTGTTCAAAATGGAATTTGTAGTTTTATTATTTTTAAAGCAAATGAATGTGTTTTTAATAGTCCACATCAAATAAAGTATATTTGTAAATATTTATTTTGGTATAGAAATCGCATAATGTTTTTGTGTGTATTTGGCATAAATCATATTAACAATATGGCAATAACTTCATACTGACACCTAATCCAAAGGAAGGGGTCATGAGTGAGTGTAACCTGGTCAGGTTGTGTTCGTTGCATGTTGATATCCATTCTTCTGGGGTCTGTTTGAGTACGTTGTCATTGTATAGTATTTTCAAAAGGTTGTATGGCAGGCGCCAGATTCACGAAGCAGTTATGCAAGTACTTACGAACGTGCACGCCTTTCCTCAATCTTTGACGGCTTTGGTTACATTTATTAAACAGTTTACAAGAATGAAAACTTGCCAATCAACTGTTATTGTTATAAACAGCCTCCTGGTGCTTCGGAGTTCATTAACTATTTAATAATTGTAAACAAAGCCGCCAAAGATTGAGAAAAGATGTACAGGTTTGCAAGGGCTTGCGTTACTGCTTTATGAATCCGGGTCCTGGTTTTTATGTAGAGGTGAGTTTTGCCGAGTCGATAGGGCCAGATCATCTTAATGATGCACAGTGTCATTAAAGTCTTAGGATTTACAGCACTATAAATGTGTGTATACTATGGGATACTATACACACATTACTAGAAATTATTTATATTTTTAGTATAATAAAATTGCTTTGAAATGCATCACGCTTTTCAAATGAGATCTTTGATTTGTGTTGGCTTTTTTCTATCTGAGGGAGAGAGGTTATTTTATTTAGCTTTTTGTACTGTACAGTAAATATTTAAATTCATAGGATTGAAGTGAACATTTAGTCTTGCAGTACTTTATTCCATTTTCTATTCACAGGTGAATATTTTACATTGGCAACCTGCAAACTGGTTCCAAAGACTTGTTTTGACTTTGACTTAATCTTAGAATTTTCATAGAGTGAAAATTATGGGCTCTCCATAGCCCGTGCTGCATGGACACTTCGTTCTGAGTAGCTAAATCTAAAACAACAATAACAGCATGAAAAATGTATACACTTGATTGATAGTGTCATTAATAACAGACCATCATATTGTATACTGTATCTTAATTACCAGCATTAATTTGAATCTTGACTTTGCAGTTTATGCAAGTTTGTATAATTTGTATTATGTGAAAAATTTGTCTGTCTTTCCAATAATAGGATATTTTTTGTGCAAAATAAAATGCTCATGCTGGCACATATTACATATGTATTGCCACTATTTTGGAAAATGCTGCCATATTCCCCTCTCACATCAGGTAATATTCACATACTGGGTTCACAACTTGGCCCACTGGTCTGCAGTGATTGTTGGCAGTGGAAAAATGTGTGTATGTGTACTCGGGAAGTAACATCACTTTGTATACTGCACCAAAACGCTGCTAATATGGTACTAATTGAAACATTTTGTTTGATAGTCATAATAGTTGCAACTAGAGGAAGAGAAAGTTATCCATTTTCAATAGTTCATTGACAGGTTGTGTTACTAGTACTATTCACCTGTAAACATTACTAGGTTGGATGGTAACTCGGAAAAACACGGAAATGTTTTAATTGCCGTTGTTTATTACTGCACATTGCAAATAGCTGCTGCTTGTCAATGTGATTTTTACTAAAATGTATTTATGAATTTCAAAATAAATTTAGAGTTGGGCAGGTAACTGGGACCACAGAACAATTTTTTTTTTTATTCATCGTTCCCTAAATAAATTGGTGGAATTACTGGAAATGTTTATATATGTATATGAAGTGTAATATTTTTAAATATTGATTGTCAGGTTGTTGGGAGTTAGATCCACATGCTCGGCCAATATTTGAGGTGATCCTGAACAAATTGGATGAAATTAGCCGATCTAACTTCACTCAGACGCCCCACGAAAGCTTCCACACGATGCAGGGACACTGGAAGGTGGAAATTGAGGAGAAAGTCAATGAGATCAGAATGAAGGAGAATGTGAGTAATAATAGTCAATAAAGTATTGTGTATGCAGACGATTAGTCACAATAACATTGCCAAAGAAACGATGATCAAACCACAACTCGGAAGATGGAGAAGCAACGATGTTTCGGTCCGTCCTGGACCATTATCAAGTTGTGTGATGACACTACTTGATAATGGTCAAGGATGGACCGAAACGTCATTGCTTCTCCATTTTCTGGGTTGTGGTTTGATCATCAAAGTATTGTGTAGACTGTAAGGTAATATTGGTTAATTAATACAGGTGCTGTACTTGGTGTTGGGGTAAATGTGATAATGTGTGGAATAAATGTCTTTATTCACTGTGAGTATACAAGTGGGTGATGATGCCTCCCAGCATTGTAGGTACTGTACATGGTGCAGCGAGTCGCATCCCTGCCATTGTATGGGGGGGGTGGAGTGGGGTGAGAACCCATCTTTCCAGTACTGCTGTCTACTAGAGATGGAATTGCCTCTTATGTTTTCTTATTTATTTAAAGTTGATAATTATTCTTTCGTCATATTATTAGCCTTTTCTCTGAGAGCTGATGTATCTGCCATTCCCAGAAGTGGGGAAATTGGTAATAATGATGAGTGAATAAATGGAAATTACCAATACAGCATGGGGTGGAAAGCAAGGATTTTATATTAGTATTTTCTTTGTGTGAAAATATGCACCTGAAAAGTGGAAGTGCATAGCCTTGGATGGAAGTGGTTTGGTAGCAGGGAATGAGTGATTAACATTTGTTTGTGTAAATTCTCATAAAGTACTTAACATTTAGTCTTGTGAAACACCTCGGATACTGCTATGAAATTTTTACTAGCAAGATGGTGCCAGTGTGTGCATTGGTGTATTTTGAAGGGTTGGATATCACTTTCAAAATCTTTAACCTTCAGGTATCAAGATGTATACTCGGACAGGGTTACAATCCAAACATTGCACACTAAACATACTCGAAGGTGATAGTGATCCTGAACCCAACAAGGGGAGTGTTAAAGGTAAAAAATGATGGCCCTCGGGGTTTAAAAGCTACTGGTGATAATGCTGCACATAATAGCAAGGTAGTACTACAGTATATTCAACAAGCATATAAAACTGTGTTATATGATAAATGACTCAAAGGAAGACAGGGCATCATAAGCTTTGCCAGTATCATATAAAGCACAATTTGGCAATAAAACCTAATAAAAAATACTTCTCTATATACAGATAAGTAAACACACATGCATTTAGTACTTATATGCAAAAAACACAAACTTGCCTTATCTGCTCACCCTCCCTCCGTAACCTTTTCTTTGCTTATCCTTAATGTGTCTCGTATTTCCTCTTTGCTGCTCTTTCATTATCCATTTGTTTTAAGTAGCCATTGTTTGGTAATCCAGACTCCTCCTCTTACAAGTCAATCATTTCTCAATATTATCATTATTTATTCTGAGTATCCTTCTCACACCTAACATGCTCCTCAGTATGTCCATCTGTTATTACCTAAGTTTTTTGCACTGTTACACATATTCGTACCTAAGGGTTGGAACAATCACTACTGCATGGTGCCCTTTAGCTGCTGCTATTCATAACCTGTTCTACTCCTCGTTTGTTGCAGGATCTACGATGTCGAGAAGAGGAGGTTCGGCGAGCATTAGTAAAGCAGAAACAGATAGCAGAGCAACTTAAGAAACGAGAGCAAGAGTTGCACAACCGCGAAATGGACCTTTTGCAGCGTGAGATCTCCATAGCCATCCAACAGCAGTCGGCGAAACCCACACCAAAGAAACGTAAAGGAAAGTTCAGGAAAAAGCTTCTCTCAAGAACCCATCAGATCTCTGCTCCATCTGGTAAGTTGGAGAAAGTTTCATTATGTAGCAAGTTCATGTTTAACATGTGTATATTATAGAAATACCTTGATTGTCCCTTATGCTAGCAGGTTTGTGTAAAATATAGTTGAAGTTAGAAGCACATTGCTAACTGGATAAATGTCTGTGTGACTGTCGGAATTGGGGCTCATGTGCGGCGAGTGTCTGGTGTGTGTGTGTGTGTGCATTATAAAGAACAGCATTCTGTGCCATCAACACCTCATCAGCTGTGTTGGTGATAAAATGGGTATGATTAAATACTTGTTTTCCCTTTGATGTTTTATAGTGTGAAGTCTTTCCAACATTAGATGATTACTCTGGTGGAAGTTTCTGTAGAGTTGTGTGTGATGTACATTTTTCTAGATAAATATTTGTGCTTGCCTAACATAGGAGTAGTTTCTGAAGCTGAACACAATGTGTTAATAGTGAATGCGGGCATGGTGTATATTTGCTAATACAATACACTAAAATCCCAATTAACCATATCTTTACTTAAAATAGTTATCTGAATACTACCACTTTTTACTATATTTCAGGGCTGTACCTTGCCAATAATAAGCTTTATAAAACCAGTTGTGTCCATAAAGTTGAAAGTATCCAAACTTAAAAGACAAATTGTTGCTATGCTTTCATAAAGTACAAAAAATATAATTAGTGTTAATTATTGGTATGATAAGCATATACATTTATTACTGCTTACTGCCCATTTGCTGTTTGGAATGGGAGGAGGCGGAGGCTTGTTTGGCCCAAGACCCCTTCTTTCTCTTTTTTTTAAATTTTGAAGTGAGATGCATTAGTGAAGGTACAGCTACTGCCCTGTATGTGCATGCTAGAAACGTTGTTAGCATAGTTCTCTAGCTTGGTGACTGTCTTTGACTGTGAAGACATTGGTTCTCTACAGGATCACTTTGGGATGTCTTTCTCTTAACAATGGATTACATACAATGGTGATTAACAAGGGGTAACTCTTGTAAGTGTTTTGAGGACTTTAGACCATCCCTTGGAATATATATTAACATTCACTGTGGTCGACTCCTTTTAATAAATCTGGGTTTAGGCAGAAATATTAGTAGTGCTCTGTGTATTTCCTGTTGTATTTGTCATAATTGTTAATTGGTATATTTATTGTAATATAACCAATCAATCTCGTCTGATACTTAATCAATTTAGCAGACATGCGCTGACGTTTTCCTAGTTAGTAATGTCGTACGCTTATATACTCTTGGTTGTCAAAGGAAGTACTTGTTAGCTCTTGATGTTTATTTATCTATTGATGGACAAGCTTTGTTTATCCCTGAATAAATGGGACAGAAAAATACAACTATTTATCTTTTGATAAAGAATGGAATAGGAATTAGGCAAATAATGTTGTTCATCATGTAGTTCCCAGGATGAACAGAAGTTTACTTTGGTAAACTTTGATTTACATTAAGAATTTCTTAAAAAAGTTCGTTAGCCAAGAGGGGTGTGTCTAGGGTGCCAGTTAACTATTGACATTTTTGCAGAGCACCAAATATAATATTAAGACTGCACAGTTCATATTAGTTACATAGTTTTGTTAATTTTGTCAGAAGTACTGTACACTGCACTCCCAGTTGAATGAGGTAATTTATCTGGGGCCCCCGTCTACTGCATCTGATGCTTGTAGCTTCCTGCTCCTGCTCGGTTTTACCAGCTATGGACAACAGTAACTGTATAGCCTTTTCTTTTAATGAAAGCTATACATGTTTCTCGATAGTTTTAACATGCACATAACATTTCAACTTTGTTAATACCTATATAAATAAACAAAATGTAGTGCACTACTGGTATGTATTAAAGTATTTTATACTCGACTTTACAGTGTAGGTCCAGTTGCCTTGTCTCCCTCGAGTTGGCATATGAGGTGTCGCTGTACTACGGAAGAAAGCCATTCACTGATAACAGCAAACTTTTAAAAGATGGTTTTTTTGTTTTCATGTATCTAAACAATACTGGTACCAAACCGCACTTTTGTAAAGCTGGTTACAGTACGACCTAGCTAAAGTCTTGATCAGTTCCCTCTTTTTTGTTGAAGAGTTAGCTTCTTTGTTTTCTTGCCTACTTTAGCCTGACTAATGCTACTGCTAAACAACTTAACTACTCAGTGATAGTCCAATTAAATCAGACATTGCAAAAGTTCTTCAGAATTGAGAGGAATGTCTAGCGATAAGAAACGAGATCACAGAGCAGGTACAGAGGGAAAGGTCCTATTAGTATTTCTTGAAGAAAAAAACCCTATAAGTATTTAACTTATACTCCTATAAGTATTTCTTGGAAAAAAAGAAGAGCCGCTGAATAAACCCATACAATTCTAATAAATTTAGTGCAATTGTTATATTGTTATTTTTAATGATATTTTATTGATATGCAGATAAAATAGATATTTTGAATGCACTGGGTTTGGATATGTATTTCAATGCTGGTCCCTCAGTAAATCCTCTTGAGTTCAAGGCATGGTACCACAGAGCCTCCCAATCTTATCAGGTCTATCAGACTTACAAATTTCTTCTGAGAGCCACTTGTAGAATCTAGGTCTTACATTGGCCAGGGAGCGTGGCATTCAAAGATACACTCTAAACCAAGGAGACCACCTATAAAGTCGGTTAAAAAAAAAAATCACAGCTCCTACAAAAAAAACAAAACAAATTAACAGACAAGGTGCATAATAGTTTTAAACAAATAAAAAACTTGCTGAAACTCGCCCAACTGCCATCAGATTGAATCCCAGGTCACCCGGTCTCTGGCTCCACAACCATCTTTCCCCACAAGTCTGGCACTGGCCCGCCTGTGCCGCCTCTGCTGCGACCGGTCACTTGTGCTCAACGAACTGGTGTCTGTTTCCTTGGGAGATTTTTGTTCGTGCGCTGTTTATTGTTGATTGATCATGCTTCACAATTGTATTTTAGGCTATTAGTATTGCATGTTCTTTGTATATTATTGAGCTCAGACCTATGATGTAGTGTACCTTGCACTGACATCATCTTGAAGAGGTTTGGGTTCCTCATCTGTGAGTTGGCTCACTTTGTTGCCTCTCTCTTCTATGTAGAATTTGGAACTAAAGAGAGGCCTGTTGATGGAAGAGTTCATGTAGTTAGCTTTCTACTTGATGGGCTTTGAGTTTCATAACCAAGAATATTCCTCCAACTCTATGCACATCCACCTGTTAGTTAATGGATAGGTCCTGTTCCCTCTGTGAGGTTTCTTTGTGCTATTACTCCATTGGTTGAGTTTGGATGCTTTCCTTTTTCAATTTGGATCCATATTTTACTGGTTACAGCTTGACAGGATTTTTTTTTTGGTGCTTTCAGACAGTGGATTTTTCCTGCTTTTCGTATCATTATCCCTTTTGCGTTCAGGTGGGGTCGTCATCTCTGGGTGTGTGATGTATTTACTTTCTAGTCTGTTTTGGCCATCACACGCATTAGGGTGGATGCCTATGTCTGGTATTCACCAGGCTGGCATCTGGTTGCTCTTGGGTGAGTTTTGGCAGTGGGTATTCACTTGTTTGCAACTATTGTTTGTCTTGTATCTTAATTAGATTTACTTTATAACAGTGGTTTACTTCTCAGTTTTGGGTCAATCTTGGATTCCCATGCTCCCTTTGCCAGAGAGCCAGATTTTGTTACTGGTTTTCAGGAGTACTTTCTTAGTGGCCTGATGTGATTGGGAGTCTGTATGGTAATAGTGTTATAATTAAAGCTCCAAGGGGACAGTGAGGAACTACACAGACATGCTTTATTAAACTTAGCAGTTTATTTTTTATGTATACATATCTTGGCAATTTCCATCCGACAAAAATACCCACCGATTCGAACATTTTAAGAGAATGTTCAGTGGAAGGAAAGTCAACATGTATTTTCCGTAGTAGGTCAAAGCTTCTGAGAACACAGAATATAATGTTTCGTTTAAGCAGGAGTGCAGTGTATTGTCTCAACAAATTTCTACAGATACAGAGAGCTTATAGCATGGTTATAAATAAGCATTATTATTTGTGTACTTAAACTCTGCTTTTCCTGCTACATGTTGTTGGCATTTTTATCTGTGAAGCTCTTCATATAAGCAGTGACTTGGAAGTAGACATGAGCTTATGTGATCTTGTAGAATTCCCAATTTTTTTTTTGTTTAAAGCTCATCATTTAAAATCATTGCATATTTGTATTAAAGCAAATTGTAATTATGTAGGGAAATTGATGGTCAAGAGAGTTTAAAAGATGTATTTTTTATTTTAAGATTGATTTTGTCTCAAGGCTCATGTCTAAAGATTTTATTAGTTCACCAGTCAGTTTTAAGTTCACTCACCTTTTCATATTCTTGTATGCTCAAATACTGTACTGGAAGGTCTTTGTTTCCCCCCTTTAGCATTTTTCTGTTTTGACCAAATGGCTGTATTGATTGTAGTTATTTTCTAATATATAATATCAATTTAGAGAGAAGTTGATAAAAGAGTGACAAGAGAAGGGTGTTGAGAGTGCATGTGGGTGACGCCTCAGTGTTTTCCTCTACTCTCCTGTAGATTTCCGGCACAACATCACAGTGCAGCCCACCGCTGGTGTTGTTCTTAACCCTACGAGTCCCGAGAGTCCCCCAGGCTCCCCTAACCTGCCCAGACTCAGGGCCATTGCATGTAAGTTACACACACTCCTCTCATAATAGACAGGGCTTAATGCAAACTAGTTAGTCATGTGTCTACCATGCAGAAATGGTCTAATATTTAATCATATTTGTACCAAGAAGAGTGTCTATAGTAAAGTGGATGGCATCAGGTGCAGTACACACACATCTGATAACTTAATTTTAGTATGTATATATACATGCATACATACAGTACACGCATACAGTCCATACTTGAAGTACCATATATACAGTATACATACAATACATACAGAATATACATACACAATGGGTCCTGTAGTGCAGTGGACACTTGAGTCGGATCACATCTGAAAGGAGATGGGTTTGTATTTCACAGCAAGATGGAGACGTTTAAGCACAATTTCCTTTCACATGATGCCTTTGTTCACCTACCAGTAAATAGGCACCTGGAAGCTTGGCAACTGTCATGGGTTGCATTCTAGGAAAGGTCAAGAGTTGACCTAGGGCTGGGATGCGCAACACTCGACATGGCGACAACTTTTATCTGGCACGCAAGACCCTATGCTCAACTTAACAAATAATTTAATAAATATCCAATATCTTTGAATTGTATTTTTTAACTTTATTTAATTAAGATAGTTTTATTAAGTAGAGTGGTTAAGAAAATAAAACGTGCTATTTCCAAGCCGTCTATCTCTTCGATATACCGACGTGCAAGTTCTGTCCCGTTGAGTTGTTGCACCATTCACCAGGTGGCCAGATGTCGCCTGACTCCTTTACCATCATTGTACGAAGCCTCATTGTACGAAGCCTTATTATTGTACTCATTCTTGGTTTGTTTACCCATGAACTGATTTTCATGCAACTTGATAGTTGTGTACAGAGTGATTATGGTGAAATTATGAGATAATAAAGTTTTATGTATTATTCATAAGGGATTTAGAATTAATAAAAGAATATCTTTCATTTTTTCTTTTATTGTGCTTTAGCCAAGTAAAATGATTGAGATTGGGCACTGTAATATACTAGGAAAACCAGAAATTATTTATGGCCAATTGATTTGATATAAAAAACAAAAATAAAACAACAAAAATTGAATTATTGTTTACTGTTCTGGTGATGTTAAAAGTTTGGCCTTTAAATCATGTGGCTGTATATGGCAGCAAGAATTACACTTTAAGGCTAATAAAAATTATCCACCCTATCAACAGGGAAGAACGATCTTTAAGTCAAAATTCCGTCACCAAATTTTACATTCATTCAGTCTTACACGACTTACAAATAATCAGTTAGAATTTTCTTTGATCTTTCACTCGTGTGGTTTTTTATTATTTTAACAAGTTCTCTAAATACTTAAGACACAATAATAATGTGTTCCCCAAAATTTATGTTGAAATACGAGAAAATTTTGCATCTGACACTTGGTAATTTTGGCACACACATTTGAGAAAGGCTGCCCATCCCTGGCCTAGGGAGACCATAATAAGCCTGATATATGCTTTCTGTCACCGAATATGGAAAAATCAAAACTAAAGATGATTGCCATATCTGGAGAAGGGTTCTATATTGTCATTTGTGTGTTTTATTCAAGGTTTTGGCTGGATTAAATAAAGTAATGGAAAAGGACCTATCTTCTGTAATGTACCCTAACAAATCTGGACTATTTGGGTTTTCTGAACACAAACTATAGAACATATCTTGTAATATTCATTTAGAGCAGCCATTCTCAATGGGGGAATGATATCAACCACTAAGGCATACCCTTGAAACAATTCCGAGCCGTACATTAGATAAACATGCACGGATTTCATTGACAACTGAAAGGACACGATTTCTGTCTTTGCTCTTGATGCTGGTTAAATGAAAAAAATTAACACGGAAATTACATTTACATATTATAAATAGCCTATTTATTACTGTCTCTTACAGAACCCCTAATTACCTAATAATCTAACAGCCTGGTTGATCAGTCCAGCAACCAGGAGGCCTGGTCGACGACCGGGCCGCGGGGACACTAAGCCCCGGAAGCACCTCAAGGTAGCCTCAAGGTAAGGTAACCTTGGGTTGCACGAAGCCGAGGTTGAGAAATGCTGCTTTAGGGTACAATACATCATATACCTGGAGTGGGCTCTGGGAGAGTTTTTACTCTTCAAGCTGGCCAGACCTGTCTTGTGGTAATCTGATGTAGAAGGCTGTTGCTGGAATCAGCTCATAGGCCCACATATCCATTATAACTTGACTGATCCAGCACTTTCTGCGGGAACTTATCTAATTTTTTTTTTAACATGTCCACTTTTGATAAGTCAAGTCACCTGCTGTTTTAGTGAGCCATCATCTGAGGTCTTCATCAGGTCACATCTGGACTCCTGGACATGCAGGCACCCAAACACGCAGACACCTGGACACTCGGAAACAGACGCACACATTAAAGCTATGCTTCTGAGTGGCTTCTAGATGTAAAAAAGTAAGAGTAAAGAAGAGAGATTGGAAGTGTTAGAAATTCCAAAACTTATTGGACAATAAAAAGGTGATATGTTCACTACATTTAAAATAGTAACAAAAAGTTATAATGTTGATAAGGCTGAATTTGTGAAACCTGCAAGAACAAAAGGAGAAAATTTTAAGCTAAAATCAAAGGTGCTGAAATTTTGTTTATACCTACCTACCTACCTGTTGTTGATTACGAGAATCAATGTCCCGAGGCCCGGTCTCTGATCAGGTCTCCTTGTTGGTGGTCTGGTCAACCTGGCTGTTGGATGCAGCTGTTTGAAGCTCCATGCTTTTTTTTTCATGGATGGAATAATTTAAATGAAAGGATAAAGCATTCTCGACTACTGGATGTTTCTCATCAACACAAGACATATTACTGTATAGGGAAGACGGGACTCCATGAGCATCGATTTAATCCTTTTATTACACATAGGTAATTACTCCCATGCACACACGTACATGCAATACCTTATACTAGTATATATATATATTTATGTACATGAACACACACACAAACTGTACATATATATGAATTTTGTCATAATTTTATAAAGAAAGGTAAATTCTTTCAATTATTTTGTTAAAGGTTTTGTAACAATTACTGATCATCAATATATTTCTTCTTTCTAAGCAAGGCCCACTCTGCTGCTCCCTGAGTCACCAGCCAGGGTTCAACCATGACTATGGCAAGATGCCAACCTCTCGTCAACCTTCAACCCACCGTAACATGGACTCTGCAGATATCTTTCCACATAATTAGGAAGGGGAGAAAGGGTAGGCCTTTCAATTCTCTGTCGAGAGAGACTCCTCACTATGACACCAAAGAGCAGAGCTAATCTCTTAACACCTCCTCTATACAATATTTGGCAAAACAAGGAATTGTTCTAAGCTTCTGTGAAAACTAGCTGCCATCTGACTGCCACCAGGTAGCTGTCAGGTCATCATTATAGGGTTGTGGAAGTTGGGAAATCTTTCTTCTTGTCATCCCACCCAGCGTTTTCATCCCTTTCCTGAATGGGGTGAGAATAGCTTGAGCTACCTCATCCCTTTGTGTGTATTTTACCTCAATAAACTTATTTCAATTTCAATCCCACCCAGCTGATGCCACAGTTCTACAGAGGCTAATTCAGTTAAGTTGTCTGGGTTTTCCCTGGGACACTCTTCATTGGATGTCCCTTGCTTCAGTGTTCACTTGATGATGTGGTTACCAATTGTCTGTGTGCCTCTTACCGTACTTCCCCCTCCAACATAGTTTGAGAGTTACTTTACCTGTCGCCGATTGAGCAAAATTCAAAGGCTCCAGAGTAATCTTCTTTGTTGCCATTGGTACAGCTTCTGCATGGCCTTGTTTCTCTTGAGCTGGTCCACTTCCTTTGTCTCTGCATTTTGGTACTGTTTCATATTCAGATATTACTGCTGGCTTTTATATGACATAATTAAAACTACACTAAACCCACCTTGGGTTTTCTAGAGAGCTCTTCCATGGAGGCACATACAGTGTGTGCCTCCATGGAGATAGTGCAAATTTTAATTTGTATGGTCTACCCATGCCTCTTCCCAGTGTGAAGTGCCCTAGGGCTAGTAAATTCATGCAAAGTACCCACAATTTTCAACTTGATTGACAACTGTGTCTCAGAGCTGGCTGATCTGTTTTCCATGCATAAAGGATGAGGTCATTTAGAGGTATACTAGTCTGGGTTGAATTTGTTAATATTTTAGTTCTTCCTTGTGCTGTTTCCCATTGCATTTGTATTTAGATATTGTTTTCATCATAGGTAGAAACAGGAACATGTTGAATATATTTTGGCACTCATTAACACCAATTGCAATGAACCAATAGGAGAGCAATATACTGTACTGGCCACCCATTACTCATACCATTATGCTAGGTGTGGCCCATTGTGACCTTGTGAGAGAGACCCTTAGGTCCTTGCTTGTGTTGCCCTGGTCATTGGTGTGTTTCCTGGTATATTATCCAGTTCCTGGGTGTGACATGCTCTCTGTCCCCTTTTGCAACCAGGTAATGTCCTTGTATATTTTTGCCATTGGATCATATCGGTCTTAACTGAGGTGTCTGGTATGTTCCTCTGACAACCTAGGTGCATTTTCCCCAAATGCCTCCACCATGCTTTGAGAAGGGACACTTTGTACCTATAGTATCCTGTGGTACTATGCCTTAATGTTCACCCCTTGGGATGTATACTGGGTTTTCTGGGGGATGGTCTCCAACCCTGCCTGCCCAACCACTTCGGGTGGGCATTGAAACGACGGTCTCGCTTCATGCAGGTCGGTGTTCAATCCCTGACCGTCCAAGTAGTTGGGCACCATTCCTTGCTTCCCATCCTATTCCAAAATCCTTAGCCTGACCCCTTCCAAGTGCTATATATAGTTGTAATGGCTTGGTGCTTTCCCAGATCATTCCCCTCTCTCCAACCCCCTTCCCCTCTTTCAGGTTAGTTTCCTTGTTGGGTGTGTCAGTGCTTGGCACTTTCCTTTCCCTAAGTGTGTTTAGAAGTACAGGCAGTCCCAGTATTATGAACA